TTCGAAAAATATTGGGACACTGAAAAGAAAATATTGGAAACTACACCTGTAAAAATAGTCAAATTGGGTCAAATCATCACGCCTTATTATTTTTTTAAACTGACTTGAGAAGTATTTTAATGTCAATGTTCTGAAGTGACTTTGAATACGTGTAAGGGAATATTTAGAAGGTATCTATAATTATAAGCTATGAAAAACCAGTTAAGCTCCTCGATAATACGTTCTGATGCAAGTTGGAAGGACTGCCATGCTTGAAGCGGCCTGTCATTCTGATAGAACTATAAACCGAAGCTCCATTTGTTACAGGTTTTGCATGTTCGAGATCCCCAGACAGCTGGAAAAAAGAGAGTACACTGCCACTGTCTCGGTAAAATATGACTCTTTGCGCACTGCAAAAAATACAACTTTTCATATACTTGCACCGTGTCATATTCGAATGCAATGCTCAAACTTGGCAACATAAATCGCACAACATTGAGGTTTTTTTTTCAATTTCTGAAAAAGTTGAAACGCTAGAAGCTCAACCATCAGAGAATATGTAACAATGTTTACCAAGCTTTTAAACATGCCAGCTTACAACCCCATCCCCTGTTCCAATAGAAATCGAGTTAGGGACATATGTCCAATACATAGTAGAAAAAGAAATTACAAGAATGGAAGAACATGTTCTGAATAAAGCGAAAATTAAGATTGCTAGTCTATGGAGAATATCAATTATGTAAACTTGATTTACCATTTCCCCGGAGATCACCAAGTGAAGTTGAATCTCTTTGAATTTACAACTGAGTTACAGCCATGGGTCATTTACCAAGCTACAAACGAGTCGAACGGCCATCGTCTTCACTTTCTCCAAGTCTCTGATGGGACTTGTTCTCAGGCCTCTAACTCTAAAACTTGTTTGAAGACAACTCACTGCCTTTAATTACTTCAAATTAATTACGTAGGTTTAAAGCGATGCGTTACCTTAAGTTTGTTAATGTTCGAAATTCGTCAGTCTTTTAAGAAAGCAATGGTATATAAGACCAAGCTGTATATATATTGATGATATACGATATGTATATCCGATAAAAGGAACATAAGAAATGATTGACATATGTATTTGTGTATATATTATGTTGAATAGAAAGCGAGCTCACGAATTGTTCTAATTATACGGAAGAAGTATGTTTCAAACCTGACTTGATGAATTATAACGATTTTTTTAAATGCTTTGATATATGACATTTCTATCTTTTCTGCCTTTATTTAACCATAAATAAGTTTCAGTATTTTCACTCCGTACATGAAAAGCTATACTAAGCATTGTTTTGAAAACCCTGTTCGATAATTTTTTCAAGATATCACGAAATGTACAGCACCGAGGAAAGAGATAATAATATATAGCCCTTGTGCAAAACAAATTTCCAAGGGTTAATATTACCTATTACTTCTATGATATATATGCCCCTCCCTGGATGTGACATATGGGATAAGACAGGTAGGTTATAATATGGGCATTCTGTATGATATTATAATGGATCGTCAGAACACGAGGTTCCATAAATATGTACCCAAAGCTTGTGCCTATATTCCCCATAATGATATGTCTTTTTTAAATACGGAATGATGAAGTTAATATATTTTCTTATAAGAATCACTGGTACTAGCTTTACATAATTCTGCTCGAAACAATCAGTCCCATATAGCCTTATATATCCCTGTTACAACAAAGCTAGCTCTAGCTCTAGCTCTAGCTCTATGATGTACTCCTGTCACCAGAAAATTATACTCCTTGTGTAATTCAATTTTCTCTACATAGCTCATTGCTTTGATCTGTTCTACTGCTTTCTGTTGTGGAGGAAGAAATAAATAGCTATATAAATTCTGTTATTTGGGAACAGTTAGCTCTAGCTCTAATTGCTATATATGAGTACAACTAGTTTTAGCTAGCTATATCTGCAAAATGGCGGAATGAGCTTCTAGCTCTATATTTTCCAATTATACGAGCTTTTACACATCGTTTTGTGTAAGTTAAAAATTTAGCCTATATATATTTGGTTGTGGTAGAAAATAATAACATTATATTTCTGTTACGTAAAAAGCATTAGCTCTATCACCCAACAACTATATCTCTGTTGTACAACATCAACTAGCAATGTTTGTATATGTTATATAAAGCAACTTATCTAATGTATATAATTTAGTTTTCACTTTATTGTTAATTATCTAATAACATCACGATAAAAATAGTATTTAATTGATTTTAAAAAAGCAGACATAAGTGTGGAGATCTTATTTCCTGTGGTCTGTAATCCGAGACGCTAAAATTAGATGATTTTTGTTCATTATGCTTATCCAGAATCAAAATTTAATCAAAATGTTCATTGTTTCGGGCAAATATGTAGAAATTATGAAACAATGCACTCTATTTATATATTTCATTGTTAATCGTAGTGCCAAAATGACTATAGCAAATTGTTGGGCGTCGTTGCGTCCCCTCAAACGTACCTAAAAGGGACATACTTACTGTCGTACTAGGATCGCCGACATACAGGTTGATGTAGTAATGCATAACGTCCAAAGTATTTCCTTTATTCTAATTTTGACTGGTGCCACTCGCGATAGAAATCACGTTAAAAATATGAACATTAATAAAATAATTTCTTTGTTCTCGCCCATCATCTCAACTAAAATCAAATAAAATATTTTAGGCTGATAAGATCAAAAAACAACTAACATCAATAGTTAGCCTATTAAAATAAATGATTAACATTTTTTGTGTATGAATATTATTTTTTATTTTGATTGATGATCAATGGTATTGGAATCAAGGGTGGAGGGGGGATGGGGAACATTATTATTTCCCCTTAATTTATGATTCATTAGGCTAGTATTTGCTTTTAATTGCTCAAAACAATAGCAATTTGGTATCCTTGATGGTTTTACGTCGTCGTAAATATGGGAAAATATTCCAAACAATTATGTATGGTACGTCACCGCCACGTCTGTATTTTGATTTAAAGCGATGATAACTTTGAAAAGTTTTTCTCAAGTGTCACCGGTCAGTTACAATGAAATGATCTCTTTAAGCAAAGGGCAAAGTCTTTTAAGGTGACTATAAAATGTTATTTTAAGTTAAAAAATTATTTTATGATTTAAAACAGTGTGTGAAATGTATTAAGAAAGTATTTTTGTCGACTATAATTTCTATAAGAGGGCTTAGACATCACAACTTTCTCCGACACCGTGAAATAAAAGCCTTTAGGGATAATGTAGTGATAAATTCTTAATGGTTGAAACGTAACACAATTGTTTTGCACCTTACTTGAATGAAGAAGAGTAAAGCTTTTAGGTAAATACCATATACAAAAGATTGTATTGAGATAATTGAGAAACTCTCTTAATCGCCGCCATTTGTCTTGATGACTATACAATAGACTCCCGTCGTTTACTAGGCGGAGCTTATCTCGACTTCAGACGAATTGCTGATGCGTCACAGATTTCTTAGCCAATCAGAAGTGTCGTTGTACCGGTAGCTCGTCTAAGTACAGCCTACTTCTGATGTTTTTATTCGACTGACTGTAGAAAAAGCCAAGCCCCAAATATCAAGATAAAAAGCCCCGTGGTTTATTATTGCTCAAGTGCCTCGAGGCTTCGTGTGACCTAAAAGAGTTGGTGTATCTTGAAGCTATTTCATCAAGTGTATCTATCGTCTTATAGTCAACTAACAGTGTCTTCCTTACAGTATTTGGATTTTTTTCATTATATCTAGTCTAGTTCAAACAACATTACTATATCTACAAATTAACTTAGGATTCTAGCTTTTACTCCAGTTGTACCCTACAGAGGATGCTTATTGTTTAAACTGTGTGAATGATTATTCAAGGGATGTCTTCTGAAATTCTAACCCTCGGATCTTCTCATCAACTACATACGTTGCAGCCGACACATTTTCAGTCGAAAGAGAGCGCATTTGAAAGGCTTTCTCCTACATATGAGAAACGAGGAGATGAAATGCCATCCGCTTTCGGACTCATAGAATCAGAGGTGCTTATTAACGTTTTTTTCTCTTAAATATTATCTCTCTTTCTATTTATCTCATCTTATTCATTCTACGATGAATGGTTTATTCTTCGTCAGCTGTAATTTCACCCCGTAACAAAAAAGCTGGAGACCTCAAATTTGTATTAGATTTATCAAGCATGTATTCTATTGTTTGCTTCAAGAACTTCAAAGGTAGTATATGAATATGAAAATGGCTCGGGGCTAAGTGAAGATTGGTAAAGACGCGCTTACTCTACTTTTCTAAATAATATGAATTGTTGTATGTATGTTTTCCAAATATTAAGTGCAACCATAGATGAGAATTGGAGACTTGGTCGTCGAGTCGTGTAAAAGATGCCTTTAAGGCATTTGAATATTGCACTATAATCGACTGACAGTAGCCTATATAGAAGACTTGTTCTACTCTTTATTCTACATTCTTTTCACTTGTAATGTTCCGAGAAACATGGAGAGATTTATGAGGTTTTTTGAGATTTTTGAGCTTTAATCTAATAGGATTTCTATGGTTTTTAATATTACCAGTAATCATGAAGGAAGGTTTGTTGGTTTCATTCATGATTAGGTTACCGATTTTGTCTGAAAATCATTACTTTCTTAGCCTGATATGTCATATATTGACATTTGGTCTTGATCGAATTCTGATAACGAATCTTTCTAGTAAAAAAAAATAGGAATATCCTTTGAAAATAATTTTTTTGTGAAAGATTTCAGAAATTTTTGACGAATCGAAAGTACTTTGAAACCTACAATTTTATCGACAGACTGTTTCGTGTATTTTTAAAGTAACAAAAGAAAGAAAAGTTCAATAATTTCTTTACAATTTTCCCTCAAACTTTGAAGTTTTTATATGTTATTTCTAATTAGTTATGATGGAAATAAATTATTGATGGTTCAATTTCTTTTATTGTCTGCTAAATTTAAAATTTTTGTATTTATCACTTTTTACTAAATTATATTATTTTTATATTTTTCAGGATCGGAGATCCGACCTGGTCTGCAGTCAAAGTGGTTTGGGACAGTTGGTCAGTTCTACATCAGGGTCATTTTCAACGGCACCCCGTCTCTCCCATACACCTAACACAGACTTCCAACCGCCTTATTTCCCCCCACCCTACATACCCTCCCAACAACCGGTAGAATTTCATCCCTCAGTTAATGCTGATCCTTATGCTCATTTAAACAGTTTTCAACAACCTCAACATCACTATAATCAACTTCATAGTACTGATAGAAATGTTTTACGCCATCGAGATGACCTTCACAACATGCATCATGGATTCCCAGGAATGTATGATTCCAGAAGAACAGATTATGGTGGCGTACGTAGACCGGAAGTGTTCATGCATGGTGGCCATCCTGGATTAACACTAGAACAGGATCCATCCCTATTAGGTTTACATCATGGCAATCCACTTTCTTCTATTGACGACGGAAGTCAGGTAAGTTATTTTTAGATTACAAAAAAACAAGGAACAGAACTATATCAAAAAGCAAATTCCAGTAATAACATAAAAGATTACTTAGGTTATCACTTCGAATGGCAAAAATAAACTCAAATTTCGTTGCCTTTTTTAAATTGAAAAGTATCCAAACAATACCATACCAGTTAGGTTGCCATTTTTGAATAAATAAGTAACCAAACAATGGCAGTTAGATTGCAAGAAAAATAAACTCAGATACTACTTTGTTTTTCACCAAATAGAAAAAAAAATGATCTCAAATAGTACTGTTTTTTTTTTTATATTCAAATAGCAAAAATCCTATTTTGCAAATTCAATGGTTGTCTGTACTGTAACTGAAGTACAACAAAAACATTGAATAAGGAAGAATAAATTTGTGTGTTATATTTTAAGGCAATATTTTAAAATAATGAACATTAAATTTTCCATCAAAGTACAAAGCTTTTGTTGAAATAAGATTGAAAGTGAACATCGGTGTCAGGTGTAGGCTGATCTTCAATATTCATTCAAAAGGTTTGACGACTAATTCTAAGGTGATAGTTTGTTATTTAGCGACCATTAGACAAATTTTAAAGGGGCCTTATCAGGCAAATCAAAACACCCTTATACATGTCGATAATTTGTTGTGAATTGGTTAAAAAGATTCATCTTTCTCATTAAGATATCACAAGTAAAGCACACTTCATTGAAATCTATATCTAAAATCTAGGAATTTAAACAATAAAACTAAGTAGAAATCTTCTCAATTCATCACCTCGGTGGAGTGTTTTTCTTTGAATTCGGCCCACAACTACCGGTATACAGTGTACTGAAATATTTATTAAGTTACTATAAAATAATATGCACCAAATAACACTCAATGAGATTCACACAATAGTTTTTTACCTAGACAGACATTTTAAATAAATAATTATCTGATCATATTGATAGTTGATCAAAGCCTAGGTTGTCGTGACGCAAAAAAACAGGGAAATCATTTTTCTAATCATTTCGATGTAACATGCAAACTTCAGAAATTTTACCAGACCAAAAATTTTAATTTAGATTCTAATTAGTTAATTAAATAAATTTGACAAAAAATTAATTTAATTTGCATTGTGAATTTATAATACAATACAAAACGGTATTGAGACACCTTAGAAGAAAAAAAAGATGTGCCGTGAAAATATTTCAAAAAGAAAAAAAATGTACCTTTGCTAAATTGATCAAAAACGACAAGTAATGAAATTATTTATTTGAGCATGTGAAACAATTAAAACTGTGTTGAAATAATGAGAGTTTAATTGCATGAAAAGTAGATTGTAAATTGTATAAGTATCAAGGGACTTGTAAACAGACTGTAAACTAATATGAAATGTAAACCACTGTCTTGTTTAACTTTATCTATAATGACCACAGTGCAGTCCCCAGTCAACGATAAAACTCGCTTTTAAATCTTTGGTTTTCAACTCGCAACTCATTTGTACGTTTGATGTGAACAAATCTCGCCACCAGAATTGATCGAGTCTTAATATTGACGTTTTTCAAGATACTTGAAGAGAACAGACAAAGGCATTTGTTTGCAGAATATTAGAGCGAACTGCTTCCCAATTTGTCCTTATTTTCAACTCCAAAGGAATTCTATATGATTATTTCCTTCGCGTTAGATTTAGCCAATATTTCCAATGTTAATGACTTCGTTGACTGGGTAATTTTCCGTCTAGAGGTTTCTACAATCTATGATATTATTTCTAGATTTAAACAAAGACTAGAATACGAGTTGATTGGGGTAGAACCTACTACATAATTCACCATAGTACATTTACTGGTTTCTACAGTTCAGAAATTATATGTACTACATAATTCATCCCAGTATATTTACTATTTTCTACCTACAAGTCAACAGAAGGTCATGAGAACGACTTAAGTCTAAATATAATTTCCTTTCTTGTCATGATGTATTATCAAATGACTTTTCATTGCGTCACATTGTTTAAGGATATTTTCTTCTCGACTGGATCTAAAATTTAGAAAATTTCATTTGGCAAATATTTAATTTGAAATTTAAAATCATCACAAAAGTCAATGCAAGCAAAATATTTTAAAACCTTTTCGGAATATGGAAAGCGATTTTCACTGGAAGGAACATTTTGCTTGAGTGACATAACCAAACAACACTTAAAAGAAAAAGGTGGTAGAGTAGCAGACTGTAGTGGCACTAATATTGTTTTGATAAGAAGATGAGATGACCACTAAAATCATTAGGGACCATCATTTAACTCTACCCTCCACGACGTTCTTAACCTTTTACTAGTCAATTTGCCGTCACTTTTACTAAATTAATTTAGCTTCCCATTTCTCTGGTCGCCATTATTCAAATAAGATGACAGAATGATATCCTTTGATGACACCATTATCTTATTTATAACACGTGACTGAGATATCAAGTTTATTTTTCTTCGAGTCTGTAATAACACCCCATTTTAATTTTGACGTCACCGTCACGCAATGCCTTGTTAACGTCACCGTCGAATCAAAAGTGGTGCCATCTCTTACAACAAACACTGGGTATAAATATATACAAATATTACTCTGTTTGCACGCGTCATAGCTTTCATTACTTACTTTAATCTTTCAACTTACATCATATATTGGCACTATGACGTCATATTAGCCTGGCACTAGTAGAATACTACTTTTATCTAACTGACAGGTTAAAAGATTTCGTCAATTTTCTTATCTGCTTTTAACGTCTGTCAAAATTGTTTGAAATTTCGCCGATATGACGCCATTATAACCGATCCAGCACAAAATGAGCCTCCCTTGTGAAGAGTCATTAAGGCCAAGTTACGGAGATGACTATATCAAATTGCCATTTTTATATTTTTATTGACAATGAATTATTAAAGAATTGTTCACTCCGGAACGAAGAAAAACTAACTGACTTATATTCTAGTATAAAGATGTTGTAAAGGGTATCAAGTAAACCTTGCCTCTGGGGACAGTTGAAATCGATTTAATATAAGACAGTTAGACTGAAACCTTCTGTAGCAATAGACTGATCTTTTTTCTTTACTTTAAACAACATATTGTCTGGCCAGGATTTAAATTACTTTTTCTTCTTCATTCAACACACAAACTCAATCAGGGCAAAATACTAACAATTAAGTCTCGGCGTTTGACAGGACTTGGGATTTTCTTCATTAACGTGTCCAGGGTAAGAACCTAATGGTGGTTTAATTGTCAACAGAGGTTACTATTAACTGACGCAAGTTGGCCAACTTCCTGCTAAATAAGCACCTTTCAGATGAATAGAATGACATCTGACTCAAGCTTTCGACCTAGTTGGACGTCTTTATTTAGTGCATAAGGATTCTCAGGGCCTCCCAATTGACGGAACTAAATACAGAACAATAACCATTTCTTCTCAAATATAACCACGTGCATTTCTGGAAGATATAAAGCGCCGAAATTTCAGTAATCTGTAATTTTCTCTTGACCCGAAACCTCTATCGGGTTTGTTTCAAGGTAAGGGTCTCAATGTAGTGAAACTACTCCCTGTTGTGAAAAACTTTGTGTATTTGTTTGTATTTTTATCAAATGTGTGCTACTCTAATGATTCTCGCCATGGGAAGTCAATTGTCAACACACTATATAACACAGGCAGGTATTTAATTGACGCTACAACCCATTGAACATTGATCTAGAGGCGAGAGTGGAAATCTCTACCGTGAAAATTCGCACCATGATGTACGGGGAAGAAATAGTGGGTGAATGAGGTTACGGGCTGAGAAGAACCTCATACGGCGTCAAGTATAAACGTTAGGTATTCCTGCAGTGACGTATTGTCATTAAATGCCTTTGATCTTGTTGCGAATTGAGTAATTAGTAAAAGAGAGGGTAGTTTTTAGAGACGGTGTGATAAAATTTTTATGAGAGAAGAATAGCAACGTCTTAGCGTCTTAGATTACATGATATTTGGGAGAGTAAGGCGGGTTAGGCCCACCTATTGTTGTATTGAAACATTAGTCTAGAAATAGGTGATATAAGTCTCAGCTTAGAGAGGAGTTGTCAAACTAATTGAAGGGAATTAAGTCAGCCCAAACAAGATCTTTAGCGGCTTGAACAAGCAGGTAGTTGGCTAATTTGCTAGAATAATGTTAACGTAATAGTGTATGGTATTGCTTGTATAATTAAATAAGAGTTGGTTACATGTTAATGGTCTACCAAGACTATGATATAATTATCAGCGGTCTGCTTGTAGTTCCATAGTAAATTAATTTAATAGAATATCACACTGTGTGAACGCTATGATACATCTTTAACGGGATTATTTCCTGTAGTTTTTGTATACGTTAATTTTGAACTACAATAATTCTTATGTATCCCTTTTGGCAAAGGTTTGCTTTTAACAGTTCCACAGTAACAAAACATAAATTTCAATAGCTTTTTTTATTTGCAAGATGTTAAAGGAACCATTTTGTAATCGAATGTTCATTAATAAAAGTTAATGATATTAATCGGACGAACGGCTTATGATACCCATCCTAATATTCACATAGAGTTGTAATGAAGGATAAAGCTTATAATTCGTATTAACGTATTACGTTATGTAACGACAAATACTATTAGGAATTACTTGAAAATTTCAAACAGAATAATAAATTTAAAACACTTTATAGTAAGTACATAGCAAAACATTGATCTCTTAAGTTGTAATGCTCTTATATTCAATAAGGATTTGGGAGATTTTTACTTTTGAATTAAGAACTGTTATTCAGACTGCATCTAGCAATAAAAATTATTATCATTATTTTGCGTTATTAATAAACTAAAGTAGTCGAAATGAAATATAATAATTATTTATGTATGAAATAAGTATCAATAAGGATAAATATAGCCAATATAAAAGAAATAAAATGCTCACTTAATGCAACACTATTGAAGAGAATAATAATAATATAAATGGATAATGGCTGGAAATTTAACAAAGATATTATTATGGCGTGTAAATTGAGCATATGTCTGTCAATCAGAAAGGACGAGACAGAAAATCGATGAATCGCACTTCATTCATTTATCATGAGTAAAAATCATGAAATGTTATCTTTGATGCTAGGAAATTAAGCACCAACGGTTTATTATGTCTGTTTACAATATCATTTCCAATCTAAATCAGTGATTAAATATTATATTTGATATATTTACATTTAGTATGTGATATTTATATTTGATATATTTACATTTAGTATCAGATATTTATATTTGATATATTTATATTTAGTATCAGATATTTATATTGAATATATTTATATTTAGTGCACATCTTTCCAAATTTACATTTAATATGGGGCATTTAGTTTTATCTTTTTTGTATATCAAATATAAATATTCATAATTGAATCCAAATACAAATAGTCAAATGTAATAATTCATATTTTGGTTATTATTTCGTAGGAAGTGATTTCTGCATACGGAAGCCATTAAGATTCACAAAACCGAGACATAATGAGAAAATCATAACAATAGGACAACGAGAATGAATTTTTGATAAATTTATAAATCATCATGGCGGCAAAAAAGTCCAATTAGAACGTGTATAACTTCATTAGACGTTTGATACGGTTTGCTTGACAGGATATGAACTTGTCTTTTTCTTTCCAAATTCACTTACACATATTTTGAGCTGCACTGTTTGTTTCCGCCATCTCAGAGTGAAATTTGTTAATCTATTTGTCGTGTAAAATGAGCGAGTAATGTAAAGCTGTTAGTGAGTGCGACGTTGAAAATAGGAAAGGGAGAAAGGTTATTCTAGCACACATCCTGCCAGTTCAGTCGCTGTTATCATTTAATGAAAGGACTTTGTAGCAACCACCATCGCTCTTTCGTTCCTATGTTTACTTATATTACGGTTTCATTGTATAGCGTAGTTTTGAAAGTAAGCAACAATTCCATGAGAAGCATGGCCTAGCTAAAACGATGAATATTTTCACGATTAAATTAATAAAGGTAGAGTAACAAAGAAAGTAATATTATGGTTGAAAATCACTGTTTTCTTATAGTCTATTTTTACAACCACCCTTTCAATTGAAAAATGATGAAAATTAAAGTGAATAAAAGTTGAATTAAGGTGCCTAACTTTAAGAAATGATGTTATATAAAATGTGAAGTAGATAAACGAGAGAGATAAGTAAATAAGCGATATAGAAGATGAATGGCAATGAACGTAGCGTCTATTCAGACTTTTCCCCTCGACAAATTTGTTTCACCTTTCTTGCCTCGTTGAACATTAGACTAGGGCGACCTTATAACAGGCTACGATAAAGATAGAGAATTTGTTTTGTACCAAGCTTTTCATAACCGTGTCAATATAATTTAAAATAATATATAAGATAAGGTAAGGGATAATATTTATTTATCATGTAAATAAGAAAGTATTTTCATTCATAAATTCATGCTGAGTTTTATTAAAGACGTTTTTTTACTTTCCAAATTGAAAGATAACATTTTCGCCTTACAAATATCTCTACTTTTCTATATAATTTTATATGCCCTGAATAGCTGTTGTTGCTGATTATTTGTTCTTGTCTATGTTTTTGAAATGTTTTATCCTGAATGGATTTCCAGAACAGTAAATTGTTAACCACCGTATAGGTTATTGAATTCATTCTAACAAAAGACATTAAAATTAATTATTAACATATTCAGATCTTCACATAGTGGCTTGGAAAATCATCAGTCATGGAAACTGTTTCAGGAAGATTGGGTTGGAACGCGAAAAAAAAATCCAGAATATTCAGTAGGATTCGAAATTTTTCACAAAAAAATATCACATCATTTCAAAATATTCAGGTATTATTTCGAACCGAAATATTCAGATTCTAAATGTTTTCAGAGAATTACACCTATATAAAAAGATAAGTAAGAAAAACACCTGTATAATATACCTATATCTGATTTATTAACTACAACATACATGGCAGTCGCATTCTTTCATCTTTTCTTTGTCCTGTCACTAAACGAGATAATATCAGTCTTTGATCTTCAGCGGTTTTTTCACCAATTCAACTCGCGTTATTCACTGAAAATAATTTCTCTTCATCTTGTTCTGTTTAATAGTTATACCAGGTTAGAACATTATTATCTCATTCATATAATCGATGTTGATTCATCCTATTTATCAATTTTTATCAATAATAGAATTGTTAAAGATAATACAAAATAGGACAAAATTGTGAATTTGTATCCTTTATATTCAAAAATAACGACTGCTCTAATCCAAGACCGAGCCTACACATTTAAATATAATTGGCACACATACATAACGTTTTATAATGCAATTTTTCTTTGTAATTGGTTGCAAGGTGATTTGTAATTCGTATTCGCCCTTGAAATACGTAAACAATTTTTATTTTAAAATGTTTACGTAAATGACTGGAATGGATTGCCTCCCCTTGTAAATTAAAATATTAAATATAGTGTATAGGAATATAAAATAAGATGAACATCTAGAAAAGTGAAATATCCAGGTTATATGTATGAATCACCTGTAGTCAGGGCACTAAGCGGAAGGATAAACATTCTTCTTGTTTACATTATTGATTTGATAGAAATTACTAAAGCCTTTGATACAGTGTAGCACGATGGTCTCCTTCACTCTATTTTAATACTCCGCTTTTTATTATAGAGTATTCAATCAATATTTATGACGTAGAATCACTATTCATATCTATATTTACTTAGCAATTGTCTTAACATCTAATAAAGTTACTTTAAAATATCTGTCTGGGAAATTTATACCAGCATTATTTAGCATTTAAAAAGTTTTTGTGTATAGTAAAGTACAAAAGCGGTTTTTTCTCAAAACATATCTTAATAATTTTTGAATTTTATTTCAGGTTAATATAGAAGATACATCACATTATATAACTGGTAATGAACAAAATTCAGTCATCAGAAAAGGTATGTTCAATTAATTTCAGAAGTGAAAAATGGCTTCCTATGATTCTTCTTCTAAAAGCTAAAAAAAAAAAAAAAAGAAAAAAATTTCCGAGCATTTGAAAAGGAATCCATTTTTCATTCTTTTTTCTTACTGCATGTTTTCTCTTTACTTTTTGTCGCATGCCTGCATTTTATGCATTGTGTTTAAGCTTTTTGAAGTTTCATTTAGTATTGATTGATATTTAAAAAAATATATCGTTTGGGATGATCTTTCAAATTGGTTGGGGTTTACTGAACACCATATATAAAATATCGCCTAAAAGAATTAATATTTGAAATGCACACAACTTTCCTTTGAAATAATTCAAATCCCAAAATCTAAAATATTGGTAATTATGAGACAGGGGCGACTTCTATGCCCTTTATTGTTTATACAATATATCAACGAACTCTTTTAGAAAATGTATCTATTATTCTAAGAAAGTTAGAGCTGTTATGATAGAGCACTAAATGCGTATTCATTGATCACGCACGGTAGTTATTTAATCTAAAAACTAAGTTGACTTTCAACTATCTGTGTTATTGTAAATCGGGTTTAGACTTGGCACTCCACGCTTAACCATTAAAGTTCTCACCAATAGTCACATTTCGTACCAGCTTCCAAATTTCAGGTCCAAACATTGCTTATTGAATTATGTTTACATGTATTACTTGTAACAATAACTATTAGCTGCCGATGTCCCAATCTCTGTTTATCCTACAAATTAAGAAAGTTTGCTGCAAATATTGACTTGTCTACTTGAATAAGAGGGGAGGTTATAAATTCTCTAGTACAAGAACCCTTTCATATTTTTAGAAAGACATCTTGCTTGCTTGTCGTGATCAAAGACTAAGGACAGAAAAGTTAATTGTGCATACATTTTTCTCGATAAAATATTAGATAGCATATTGAACACATGCTTCGATGGTGTATCTGAGTCAGACGTGTTCAGCTAAACAATAATTAAGCAAGGTCTTTCAATTACCACTCTTTATTTTCAAACACCTTTGTAAATAAAGTGAAAGTTGTGATCAAAATCGAAAAATGAAAGTAAAAATGTAATCAGTCAAAGTAAAGTAATTAATCATAAGAAGACATGAAGTGGGATATTAAGGAGGGAGTTGGTGATAGGAAGTACAAATCATCCATCAAAATATCAGTCAAACATATTGGTGTTTATGTCGTATTATTTGTCCTAGCAGTTGAAGCGAATCGTTGGTTGGTATTTGATAGATAAATAACTAAATCCATGATGAGTTATTGATGAACAGCGTAATAAAGAAAACCAGCATGTTGTTCAAGCTTCTTATCATGTTTTCAATGTTGTGGACAAGCATCCTTCACTCTCCATCCTATTTATACCAACTTGTTATTTGACAATCTACTTTAAGCCGTGACAAGATGGACGCATTGTTTTCCTTTTTGTTCGCTCTATCATTAAATCAGTTTCGTGAGATACTCGCGTTGCTTTTTTACTTCATTATACACCCGATATTGGCCTTCTCTTGGTAAGGTCATGACGGTTTTGGCGCTAGACAAATCCAATTTTTACATCATATTCACATGTTGGAGAGTCCATGGAAAGAATCGATTAGAAGCAAAGAATATTCAGATCAAAAGACTCCCGTAGTGTCAAGAGTAATTTTCTTCTCGCTTAGTCCATATGATGTGATAAAAGCGTGTAAAATATGGCGGGTAAAATTAGACGACTAATGACGAAGAAGAAAAAAAAATCTCCAGTGATTTCATTTAACATTCTTTATTTCTATAAAATACTTTGCCACTTTGAATTTATAAATCGGTTTTCTAGGATATCAAGCTGGGTTTCAACTTTACTCTAAATTTCATCTCAACTCCAACCTAATTTCAGATATATTGAAAATTAAAAAGGGAATTCAGGTATTCTATAGCTAATAAGAGTAAGAGTAAATTTAACTACATGTAGTTTGAAGAGCAATATGAAATTATGCCTGCAGCGTCTTTGTTGTAAGGTCAACAATTTATCTGTTGACAAGGTCGCTTGTTGGTCTTAACAACAAATCTTAAACAATACAAGACACCTATTAAAGGCTAAATGAAACTTCAAGATAGCTCATTGTAGAAATTAGTGAAGATTATTTGTCATTTACTCGAGTCCTAATTTAGAACATTTGATATGTATTTAATTAGTATGTTGCAATATAATTACCTTGCAATTTTTCCCCCTTTCTTATCCACCTGCCTTTTCAACATTTGTCATTTTTGCATTATCGTTTGATTTTTTTTTTACTAATAATTTGAATAATTTGTCCTTATTCTTTTCCTTTATTGCACCTTTGAATTGAAATTACACGCTTTATTAACACCTACTAATCTATTGCATTTGATTTGAATATTGAACAATGTTCTTAATTCCAATACAACAAAAATAAAACCAGTCTACTATTTTAAAACTTAATGCGATATTTTCTTTGAAAATTTTAAGTCAACAGATGTTAATCTGTTTTAGAAATTTCTTATCAAAGAAAAAAAAATGTCTTGAGGCAAAATACTTGTGTTTAGTTGTGAATAGACATTTATAATTTGAAAGAATTATAGAATTTTATTAAGTAGAAAACATAATTTTTAGAATTGTGATATAATAGAAAATAGCTTTATTTATACCACCCTTACCTTATCCCTGCATTATCCTGCTTAATGTATATATATCGTATCGTGAATATTTTTTATTTTACATAATTGGGTGTTTATTTTGGTTTTTATATTTTATTTAATTATTTTTTAAATTCGAATGATAATTTGGTGGTTTTTTCGTGCGTCATTTGGTATTTTTTTTCTACCTATTTTTTGGTTTCTTTTTAAATTTTCGAAATTCAAAATTTTGCGCCGTGTTGATAGAAAGACTGGATTTTTATTTTGTTGTAGCTGGGATAAGACCAAAAAATGAACACAATAAAGATTTGGTTATATCTGGCGTTACAGCTCCAACCGATGTCTTCTGCTCTGTTCCTGGTCGATTATCCCTACTCAGCTCAACCTCCAAATATAAAGTCACAGTTGCTGAAGTACAAAGACGATTGTCTCCCCCTGAGTGTCTCAATGCCTCACTACTTGGTGGCGTGTTAAGAAGGTATGTAGTAATATTACTTGTATTATTTATGTATGTATTTGTGGAATCTAATGATAGATTGTAATTAACCAACACGTCTAATGATGATCAATCTTTATCAGTTCATTTCTCCCATCAAACAGAATAACATATCATATATTCATACAAAATATATAAATATAATTACTTTTTTCTTATATTTATATACACTTATAAAACACGTTTTGAAATTTTATATTTAAAAAAACATTCTGAACGATTTCAGAATACTAGTTCTTTTGTTGTAACAAGTCCATCTTATCTTTTCAAGCAATACAAAATATTTTGATACATAATTGACAGCATCTAAAAATATTCATTTAAATTCAATATTAATTTTTTGTTTGAGATAATAAGCAAAATATCCATCGATATAGAAACTATAGTTTTTTCAACATGATGCCCATAAAAAGCGAATAATTAACCTTTAAATATCTAACTGACAGATTTCAAATAGAGAATAGATCGTATCAAAATCTTTTTTCACAAAAACATTTTCTTCCCATATTATTCAGCTGACCTCCCATGCTAGACGTCCATTTTCCTTCTTCATTTCACGCTCAGTTGGACAATATAATGAGACTGATGATAGCTGTTCATCCATTCAATATCTTGGCTAAACGTCCACTGAATCCTTGTAATCAATCCAAGCCTATATAACATGGTGTCTATAGACTCCTGGGGTGCTCTTCAACTAAGCACTTGTCTCTATGCGTCTCTCAACAATTTTTACCTTTGTGGCTTTAGTCTCGCTATTTCCTTCTGATCTCTTTCACGGTAGAATAACAAGTAGCACACGCTTTTCATACAAAACTTCTCAGAAGTGTTTTTTCATAAAGACCAAATTCATCAACTGTAATTTTCAACTTTACATGAAAATAATATGTTCTTTTTACTACCATTTTGGCTGGTGAGTGAACGCCCTTGTAAATGTATTCAAAGCAGAATGTAGAGTGGTTTATTATAAAATACCGTTTACTTTTCTGTATAAGGGTCATTTCACAGATTTTGATTGTATTGAAGGGGAGTGGTGGGGAGTGCATTCATAAAACTCTCAAAACCCATATAAATTCTCTATTAAAACTCACAAATGTGATATTTATGAACTAGCGACGAAGCCCATAAATCTGTATGCAAATGTAGCGGATAATTTATTGTCGACAGCTCTGTGCACTGACACCAGAATTTAATATGAGTTACACGTGGATAAAACAACATAAAGTTACCATAGAAATAGCTGATTTATTATTTATTTGTTTACTAGTATCGCCATTTATGTGTTAAAACACATCATCGAGACGAAATTATGATAAAGATATTAAGTTAAATATATTTCCAAGATTATAAGTTAAATATTTCCAAGATTATAAGTTAAGTATATTTCAAAGATTATAAGTTAAATATATTTCCAAGAATATAAGTTAAATTAAATATATTTTCAAGAATATAAGTTAAATATATTTCCAAGAATATATGCCAAATATATTTCCAAGAATATAAGTTAAATATATTTCCAAGATTATAAGTTAAATATATTTCCAAGATTATAAGTTAAATATAAAATCTCTAAGAACTATTTCAGTAGATATGAAAACAAAACGTAACAATTAAAAGAAATACAATAAAATACACTTGTCTTAAAATAGTCACAAGAGAACAACTATCTCAGTGTTAAGTTTTTAAGAAAATAAATAAGAACTGTTACATGTATTTGAAAGTCTTAGCAAAATACTTATTGATTACATTGACTAACTTTATAGAGTGAAGTATTTAGTGTGTAAACACTAGAGTTTTCTTATTGCTCGCCATATTACCACTACCGTGTTTATTGACGTAATAAGTATCGACCGCCATTTGTTTTTGATAATTTTCTATATATTCTCTGTCTATATTATATTACAATCACTTTTATAATAAATACAGAAATATATATATTCAATAATCAATACATCGTATATGATGAAATTCTAATGATTAAAAACTTAACGTATAAAAGCATTTTATTTTTTACAAATTTATAAAAATTGAGTTTCATTCATACGTACATCTATATTTGAAATATAAAATTATTACGTAATTATCTATATGTGATAATGTGATATACCATAAATGATAATGACTAACGATAATGTTATAATTGCTATTTACAATATTAGATAAATACTAATTAAAAGTAATTATTTAAGAACATAACTCAATGTGATAATCAATTTATTTTTCTCCACCTCATTTAACCACGTTTTATTTCAAGTTAGCATGTCTACATGTATTTCAACTTTCACGTATAGAGTAGTTAAGAAAAAAAAAACGATAGCCAATATTACCATGACTACGAGGTTGTTTAAAAGAGCAGAGATCGTTGAAAGACATAAAAAGCCCTATTTCTATCACCTTGTAAGTGGAAAGTACTGATAATTCATTCGTCAATTCATAAACGAGGGTTAGGATCAAAGAAAAACCGAACCCACTAGAAACTAGTTCAAGTATACTTCATAATTTGCTAATTTTGTCAAGAGATGATTCAATTTGTACATATCGTAATGCATCTTTGATAACATAAATTGCCCTTGTAATTCACATTTTTTTCCCTCTCAAGATGAAAAGGAATGACGTTTTACGTCCTACTTTGAATTAAAAATGAAAATATATAGCGTTATTGTGGCAAAGAAGATATTATGAAAATTATGTGGCCATACATGAAGTATCCCTTCTTATTTTCGATTCCACGTTGAATATATATATAATGCATAAATAAATCGCATCTTAACAAAAAGTTATAGAACTACAGATAATTATTTCAAAGTGAATATGGCATGTTTTCAAAGAAATGTGAAAAACTCGTTCAATTCAGTTTGTTATTTAATCGTTCTTTCCATATTAAAAAACGGTTGGAGCTCTAAATGAAGTTAGTTGCAATGAGGGAAGTAAACACTCACTAACTGTGAAGGAAAACATGGTAACATAATTGTATGACCAACTTGTGCTCTTAACGATCTTGTCCATTGTTAACATGGGATTCTCAAGACACCAACTCCACAACACTCCCTATTTCAAACAGCTTCCCTTACTTTGTTGTTTCTCGTGCTCTATGATGTGATCCCAATTAGACATTGAATCAAACATGATGAAGTGTATTTTTTCTCGTGTTGAATATTTTCTTGTATTGTTTAAACGACATGTCTACAAAGCTAGAGGTTAATACTCTTTATGGGGTGCAAATCGCCTTTACACTTCAAGAGTGGTTTGCAAACAACCCGACTACCGAATGTCTATTATTCTGTTTGATACATGACTGAGCACCCCATTTGTAGCTTTTTCTTTCAACTGCGCGAATAAGTTTTTCATAGAAAACCAGCCGGCAAATGTCTTGTTGAAATCCGAGCTTCAAGTATGTTTGGTTTGTAAAGTTAAGAGAGAAAATTATGAACAATTACAAATTTCATTAAAATCTGATTATACTTGAACCAAAGTGTAATTAATTTTTGAATATTTTCATTTTCGATCTTTGTTATTTTTTCTGTGGAACTCCAGAAAGTCTTAATCAGATTACACAATTAAAAGAACGGTAAAGAAAAAGTGGTTAAAGTTAGAGAGCTAGTGACAGATTGTAGCATACCGACTTTCCCTATCCCACCCCTATTATACCACATATGTTGAGTACTGGTGAAACCAATATGAGATGGCAGTAATCATAGCAAATTAGCCATTCTCAGCGTATTAAAGCCTTAAGGTGATCTGATGACTACCATCTTAAGAGTTTATAAGGCTGACTGATTGATCAATTTCCTAAATAACACTTCCTTCAACCACTGACAAATCGAAAGTGTGAATCGAGACAGCTGGAGATCAAAACTCGACTAGGAATTATGCAGATTTTAACCAAGTCTTGCTGGGCTTTAATTCAACTAATGACTCTTGGGGAAAATCCTTAGCGTAAATCTCAGATTCTAACCCGAAATTAACGAAATTAGGGAGGAACAAATTCGTGTCGATAATGACAAGTTCGTATTTGGTATTCATTCATTTTCTTCAGTTTAGTTCAAATTATAACGAGACAACGTTCAGAGACATCTTTACCAGCTGTTAGCTGAACTGTCATTTTTCACATCATTTTTAAGTATTTCAATATACAAAAATAACGTACACCTGTATGCCACAATGACACATTTGTACCTCGAATACATAAGTCATATAATATCAATCTTTTCTAGCTATGAATAATTTATATAAAGATGGTATCATTTTGATAAATATATGCACTTGAGTATCATAGACACGCTTTATATTACAATGTACATGTATTTATACTACACATATATGCCTTCAATATATTTTACACAACATGTGAAGTTATGTTATGAATTTACAATTCATACACAATGTATTTATACAACACATATGCCTCCAATATATTTAACACAACACATGAAGTAACGTTATGAATTTTAAGGGGAAAGTACCAGCCTTTGAAAACTTTCTCTCAGCGTTAAACAAAATATTGGTTTTCGGTAATATTTGAAGTCATTTTTTGCTATTTATTAATTTGAATAGAAGGAATAACCTTTGCTATGGTTATAATTTTTGTTTTCTAAAAAAAAAAAATCAGATTTTTCATCATAAGATTTATTTTCAATTCTTTTTATTTCGACATTGATGTCAGTATTTCAAAAATATAAAGTAATGCAAAAATGTCTCATTCTAAAAATATATAACACATCTTTCTTGAAAATTTTCTATTGTGTGTTTTTAATATTATTCTTAGAAATAATGTAGATTATTATAATGAAGTGTTTAGATGTGTTTGGTTGAAAGATAAGCTCAAAATAAATATAACATATTTCAGAAAAACAAGATGGTGGCTTGTTGACACTAAGATTTAAAAACGTTTTGTCTTGAGCTAATCTTACTCTTGTCATTCTGGATTTTATTTTTCATAAATATTAGAAAATATAATCCACTCCTTTTGACCATAGTCAATATGTATTGTTCCAAGCCATTCGCTCAGACGGACGACAATATTGACAAAAATATTTACCGCAATATTGACAATTATTTTAATGTTTTTTTTTATTAATCCAGATTCAGTAATATGTTTATTCTTTTGTTTATTCGCCATATTTTATTTGTTTCATTTTCTTTCTCTTGCAGAGCAAAATCTAAAAATGGTGGTCGATCTCTACGAGAAAAACTGGAGAAAATTGGGTTGAATTTACCTGCAGGGAGACGAAAGGCTGCTAATGTTACATTATTGTCTTCGTTAGTAGAAGGTCAGTTTCACCGCGTTTTAATTTGCTACTTAAAACTAACAATTTTTTTAAACATTAAGTTTTATCGCGAAGTGGTAATTTTAAGCCAATAATTCCCTTTCTAAACCAAAGTTGTTAGATCACTGTTGATAAGATAGCTGTTATTATTCTTTTTGATTTGTTATTATGTTAGCCTGAGGGTCTGTCGACTCGACAAATATTTTAACCATCAGTTATATCAATGAACATACCAAAGAGATTTACTATATTTTTAATATGAGTGGTTTTTAGTCAGGATTTCTTACTGCTTAGTTAAAATAATTGAAATATTTCCAGTGAAATGGGGCGATAAATCTGCGCTAGATCAATAATCCATCAACTAACAAGTAGCATTACAAATAATAAACATAGAAAATGAGCAAGAATTGAAGAGTAAAAACTGGCATCTGTCTATACTCGATAGTCACGCCCTCTCACTCACTAACTCCGTGTATTCATCCGCTTCATTTATTTTCTCATTAAATGGCGGCGTTTACAAGGTAGTTTGGCGTGCGATATTAGGAAATTATTTCACATGAAATGTCAATGGAGCAGTTTTTCAACCGGAAATAATGTGACCTGCCATATCGGTCGGGCAAAACGTCAAGCAGCCTAGAAAAATCAAGTTCCGGTCGCCATTGTGATTTTAGCTCACTGATTTTTTTGTGAACAATATTTTCATGATAAACAATTTGTTTTTTCAGGTGAATCCATCAGGTTAGCTCGAGATTTTGGTTATATTTGTGAAACTGAGTTTCCATCTCGACAATGTGCTGAATATAATCTTAGACAATACTGTGATCCAAATGATACACATAACCGAAAAAATATGGTGCTAGCTACAAAGTAAGCATTGGTTTTTATTCCTTTGATATGACCCTTTTTTAAAAAGAAATAAATATAATTTTTTTAATTTAAAAGATAAATCAAGTATAAGGAAGTGTCAAAAATTTAAATTTCGTTTTTGTCCATCATAAATTTATTTTAACTATTTATTTTCTAGGACGATGTTGAAAGAAATGATAGATTTATTAAATCAGGACAGATCACCACTGGGAAATACTCGCCCTACACCAATCTTAGAACCCAATATACAGAGACATCTTACACATTTCAGTCTTCTTACTCACGGTTTTGGTGCCCCAGCAGTGTTGGCAGCCCTAACAGCAGTTCAAAACTACATGAACGAAATGTTGAAATTATTGGACAAAAATTACCCCGCTAATCAAAACTCTCAAGTGAATTCTGGCAATAATCCATTAGACAATAAACCACCAAAAGATAAGGACGAGAATCGACGAGAGTGATAGAAAATTAAATTATATTATTAAAAACAGTTATTAAATTTGAGTATTTTCAAATATGGCTGCCAAATGGTTGAGGTTTCGCGGAAGGAAAAGTGGTTGTGAAAAAAAGTTGTTAATAAGTGCAGCGTAGTGATTTCATGTCTAGCAATAATTTGACTAGACAGAAAGACAGTGGTATATAAAAGTGGTATACTAGTAGAAAGTGGTACAGACTATATTTTGAATTAAGAAGTGCTTTCTGAACGTCTTACATGCCAAACATTCCATATGCTTTATATGGTAAACGACGTATACATACTTAAAACATTTCATGTATTATATTTATTATGTTTCTTGCCGTGTGCAATGTTACCTCTATCAACTTTGACGTTGTTATGGTGCAATGAGACTTTAAATGTTGATTAGTTCAAATTTGAAAATTCGAAATGCGTGTTCATCGGCCATCTTGAAATATCCAGTCGATTCAAGCCTGTCATTAGAAACCTCAATATAAATTGATAAGATGCCATAATATAATAATTTGAAGTCCAGAGAAGGTTATGGCTGTATGCCTTCAGAGTTCAGTCTGTCTCAAAATGAAATGTGCTCTTGGTATTAATATTATATAAAATTGAGATATGAAATCGTTTATTATTTAAAAAGATATTGTAAATTATTGTATAATTGTAGACGGGTAGTTAGACAAATTGTAGAAAAATCTTACTGTGCATTCCTTTCAATGACAAAAACCCTATAAATTTTCATGTCATTTTCTCGTGAATAATTATTCCCATATTTGTCTCTGTTTTGGCGGCCATTTTGTTTTCTGGTTGTACTTGTGTGACAAATTGAGGCTGTTTATTTTGTACATGTATATGCCATGTGAGATTTTAAAAAAACGTGATTAATTTATTCTAGTCGACGAAAAGGCATTTTTATGTGAATGAAAACTTGTATATTGTATATAGGATAATTTAAGAGTATAGTTGTTCGTGAACATGTTTTGTATTATTTCATTTCATAACTTAAGTTATTTTTTAGTATTCCCTAAATCTGCATTATTAATGTAACTTAAAACAAAGTATGCAGATTTGGAGATGACGAAAGAATTTTGAATGAATGAAACATTACTGAAAATGTGTTCACTTTATAAATTATCCTCATAATTCAAGAATTTATTTACATTGTATATTATGTTTGTATATTTTATTCGTTCTTTAATGGACATAATTATTTGTCAATACAAAAAAATGAAGAAAATATAGAAGGGAAACCGAATACAATTATATTGTTTTGTTTTTACGTACGCCTTGTTTGGCGGCTCGGCATTGGAAACAAAATGCAGTTGAAGTCAAATTTCTATTTGCTCCTGCTTAAGCTAATACAGACCAGCAAGTCAGGAGCATAAGCTTCCTTTTTTTTACTTCCAAGTGTAGACGTATTTTTAACTTAACTTGTAGTGCACAGGAAGTCGTGTTATTATACTATCCGAAGAACTAATTTTTTTCCCATGTCTGTCAGATCTACCAGCATCAATGACTTTAAGAAACGGGGTTGATAATCTAAATGAACTATCTCGACTTAATCGAGGATCATGTCCCAGACCAGTTGTAGGTTAGCGATTGCTAAACCACAAGGAGAGTCAATTGCTGTCTTTGTCTATAGAGTACACACTATTTGGTCAAATTGTTAATTGCTGGATGTCTTTCAGCCAAGAGAATAACGATGGACCTTCTGGTACCCTATCCAATCGAAATCAACTTCGGACAAATACAAATATATATTGCAGTTTCTAATTATCCAAGCATAAAAAGACAAAGATTTCAAAAACATCGTTGTAAAGTGTGTAACATTGCCGATCTGTAACAAAATTGAATGTTGATGCATTCCAGGTACACGTACTTTACGTAATGGTGTTCTGCATTATTAAAACGAGGAATGTCGAAAACGTGGATTCTAGAAACCAGTCAGTTGAATCACTTTAGCTCCGCATAGATTTCAGAATACACTACTGAATCAACTTGGCAAATGTTGCGGACTGTCTGTCAAGAATTACGTCCCTTTTTGTTAGCAAAAGCAGACTTACTAGTCTATTCAATGCTCTTTCCATTGCAATTCATGTTTGTGTTGAATATATTAATTCAAAAAGGCTATATTAATTAAAACCATAGCAAAATGTCTCTACACTAATAGGACAATGGCAGCTTATGAGCCCTGTAAGTTTTAGTCCAAGAACGTCATTTGATTCACCACTACAATAATTATTGTAACAAATCTACAATCTAATAACAAAACAGAAAACAGCATGTTGAATGTTGAATTTAGTTTTGGGTGATCAGTGGTTCCAGACATACAAAAGTTCTGCCCTGTTGTTCTACATCTTCTTGATGTCCTGGACCACTAGTGAAGGTTTGATAAAGTTGAAAACATTTTTGGGTCTCCCTTAATAAATATTAAAGCACCAGTAAAAGTCTTACAAAATGAAATCCGGTGATAGGCAGAGTAGACTAAAAGACATGCCAACTAAGGTAAATAGCCACATATTGCAAATAGCAGGAGCAAATATGTAATAACGAAAAAAATGGGAGAACTCCATTTCTGGTTAGAAAGTTCGAGTCACTTAAACTACAGAACTAAACAGTCTGCTAATTTTCCAAAACTTATAGAGACATTCCACTTTTTTGTAGGTCGAATTTTTTTTTGCTCCAATTTGTAAAAACTATAGTGTACACCAAGAAAGTTACCCTTTAACGAATTTGAAAGTTTTAACTAAATATGCAGCCGTTATAACCAGAATTTTGGAAGCTATTAGATAACTAGTGTACGGATTTGAGTAAAATAAAAGTAATATGTCTCAACTAATAGGTTTCAACTAATAATATCGAGCCCTTATAAAGCCAAAAACCAAAACTAGGTCAAACTGCTTAATTAACAATTAGTAATCTTTTTAAATTAACCCGTTTAAAATAAATTCAGTTTGATCAGGAAGATACATGGATATAAATAGCATACTTTAAATATATTTTCAGGTATAATTTACAAGGTTCTGAAAATGAAAACTTTTACAAAATAACGGAATACACCTTTAAAAACGAATCATAGGAAGATTCAGATGACTTATACTTCATTGAACATCTACGATATCTTAATATAAGAAAGCAGTAATGTTCGCGATTTTGGTTTACTATTAGGTTGAAATGTCAAGCCACTTACAAAATTGCAAAACTTCTTCCCTGATGACATCTCGCCTTAACTACGGCAACTCAGACAAAAGATGTTTCTCAAACGCTGCACCATTACTGCAGAACCATCATCCAAAAAATTTTAAAACTTGAAAACACAGATATTTCAAACAACATTTTATATAGTGTGTCTTAGTGAAACGAACCGGTTTTTTGTACTGGAACAAGTATCCTTTTTCATTTTTTAATGAAAAAGCATCCATTCTAAACCCTTCCCCGAAATCTAAATTAATATCCACGAATATTTTAAGTGTTTACGGTTGATTTTCTATTCCGTTCTTCTTAGTACAATGAAGGAATATCAAAAGGAATTATCTATGTTCATGGTATACTTTATACAATAGTGATACTGATTTCAACAGACTTAACATCATGAACAACGTTTGTTGAATTGGAATACGAGTTACATGGTTGGAAGTAAAATATCCAGAAACCTTATCTCTGTAGTCGTCAGACAAGAAGATTCTAGATCAAAATGTTTGTAATAATTTTAATTTATGTTCAAGAGACGTATGAAAACAGAATAAAGATGGTTTTTTTGCTCTGTTATTGTATCAAAAGTGTTCAATTAAAGAGGCTAAGATAGTAACAATGAATTTAGAGAGGTTACAAGTGGATTACGTCAAACATTTAAATAAAGTAATATAGGTCTTGAATGGATAGCCTGTAGTTATTTTTATTACAGAATAACGGACATGGTCTCGGCGCCATCTTTACAACGTTTAAAATTGCACATTTAAGATCTTTACATTTTGTGGATATTTCATTGGTTATGGATCATTGTTCCTGAACAGAATTCTTTGACATTCAAAACACGGTCTAATCCGCTTCATTTCTCACATTGTTCGAAAATTTGTCACCCGAATAATGACCATTGCAATTCTTCATTGTGGTCAGTAGTGTCCACTTGGGTTCTCTTTAAGTGACCAGACAAATGTAGCCGTTACGAGTAAAAAGACAATCAAGTGGTCAGTACTATTAAAATATCGAACCGTCTGTTTGTCGCCCACTGGTGAATTGGTCATCCTTTCTCTTTGTCGGTTAAAAAAATATCAAACTGATTTACATCGGTAATAAAACAATTCTTTTTCAATTGAATTTCGTAGTATTACGAGAAATTGTTGAGGGTTGTAAAAACATACCATAACTCACTGTCGTTTACTTTGTAATTGAGGTAACTACGTACTATATAATTTTAACTTAGTGTTGTACAATGATGTAATGCTATTGTATATTAAATAGATAGGTAGGGACTGTAGGTATATCTTACTATCTAGATACAAATCACTTATTTCAAGTATCTACTACCGCACTCTTTCATTTAAGGACCAATATTTGTTTTATGTTGAGCCATAAATACAGAGACATCCAATTCAAAATCTATGGGAATCTATTTTTTCTAATATTCTTACATTTGAATTGAAAAGATCTTAAATAATAAAAATCCTTAAAAGAATATATCAATTCTACCAGAGAACCATTAGGTGTAAAACGATCGTTCATGCAACATGGCGTCAACCGCTTACTTAGATATAAGAACTGCATGTAAGTGTAGCGTTATTTTTGTACCAGACCATCTTGTATTTTGGGCATCTCACAACGGATCAGAAACGTCAGATTCTTGACGTCCCGTCAGAATTTATGCCGTTTTGATGCAGATCCTTGTGATATTTTGGCCCGACTGGTAAGCATGGACTCACATCCAACTGCCTAGTCGGTTCCTTCTGTTGCAAATGTGGTGTCTACTGAAACGATTGTATGATTTTATTTAATGAAATG